TGTATATATAATATGTATATATATATATATATATATATATATATATATATATATGTTGCTTTTAGATACTTTTAAGTATGCATGAAAATGATTTTCATTGAATTCTTTGTATAACCAAGAAATACCTCTTGATAAATTTTGACATGAACGATTATTTGAATCCTATATATTTTTATTAATTCTATTTTAATTATATTTCAATATTATAAAACATAACAATAGAAAAGTGTGTAAGATGGTATGTATTCTATTATTATATATATATAATTACATTATAAAATACATCGTATTATTTTTTATTTTATTTATTTATTTAAATTTATTATCTCGTTTCGAAATTAATTAAAATAAGATGAAAATTAAAAAAGGAATCGAAGATTTATAAAAATAATTTACAATGATATAAAATTACATATGTATATTTATTTCACTATATATACAATAGATTTTGTATTCAATAAACATGACAATTGTTTATTTTTGTTATATACAATTATTATCATAGTCGTTACATCATAGTAATTTCAATTACTCAGAGTAAAAATTTTTTAAGAAATAAAAATTCAATAAAAAAAACAATGAAGGTCGATGGACTGATTATATTTATGATCTTTATGACTTTATTAGAGCGAATGCAATCAATTATATAAATTCGTAATTACAGAACAGAGCGAGTGTTTGACGTTGTATCCAAGCGTGTTATATGTATACAAAATATGCAAAATCTTTGAAACTTATGTAATAGATTTGACCAAAATTGTATACTGATAGAATATAAACAATATCGAATAATTTTTAATTTTATTTGATATTTTAATATTGCAATAAAGCGTCCAAAACGTTTTCTTGAATGACAAAAATTTATTAAGTAATTAAACGGAAGTCAAGCGAAATATAATAGATAATCTTAAAAATAAAATATGTGACATGCAAAAATTCTATCCACCATCCTTCTCTTTCTTGCGATATTTTATATTCTCCTTCTTCGATACAAAAAAGAAAAAAGATAAATAAAAGTAAAACAAAAATTTATGAGATATAACAGAAACTAAGAAAAATAAAAAATAATAATAATAAATGGTAATTCATGGTGAATTATTTAATTGGATTGAATGATTTTGATTGATTGAATTAGATACTTATTTTTTAAATTCGCTATTCATTTAATTAATTGTTTTAACGATATATGTATATATATATATATATAAATGTTAAAAATTTTTTCTATTTTAGGTACAAATTGTACACCTGCAGCAATAGAAGACTTTCCACACGATCTTTTCGATGAGAAGCAAAGGCAAGGAGGAGCTGTCGTAGTACACGTAATCGTTTCGCTTTACCTGTTTATCGCGTTAGCAGTAGTTTGCGACAAGTTTTTTGTTCCCGCCGTAGAAAAGATATGTCACGGTAAGAACAATTGCTATTCAATTTAAGCAGTTTATTAATTAAAGAAATAGCAAATAAACAATTCAAATTTTTCAATGCTACTTAATGCTTTGAAATTTCAATTTCAGCACTTTCGATGTCCAAGGACGTAGCAGGTGCTACTTTTATGGCTGCAGCAACATCGGCACCGGAACTGTTCGTAAACGCAATCGGTACATTTATCACCGAAGGTGACATCGGTGTCGGAACAATAGTAGGCTCGGCTGTATTCAATATTCTCGCAGTGCCGGCTTGTTGCGGTATTGGTGCTGGTATGGTAAGTTCCTAACAATTTGAACAATAACAAATCATTCTATGAAATTTTATTATTTATTTAAGATAAATTTAATATTAATATAGCATATATATGTTATATATTATATTATAACTAAAATTATAGATATTGTATATATTAATTAAATATATACAGGTAGTTCCTTTAGACTGGTGGCCAGTTAGCAGAGATTGTCTTGCCTATGGTGTTACAGTTGCTATTTTAATATGTATTATACACGATGAGCGAGTAGAATGGTACGAAGCGTTAACGCTAGTATTATTGTACATCGTATACATCGCTGTTATGTATTGGGATAAATCATTCCAGCGATGCACACGATTTCGTACACATAACGCTGACCGATCCTTATCGGATGACCATCGACATGCGACAGGTAAGAGTTACATTGTTTTTAACAATAAAGCAAATAATTTTAAATGATGAATATTTTTTTCAAGTAGATTTAAGTATTAATAGAGAATGGTATTATTAATAATGTTTTAATCTTACAATTATTTTATTTTAATATATGTATACGCATATACATGTATACATATATTTTATAAATATAAATTCATATATATATAATATATATGTTATTTATATATATATATATATATGTTGTAGTTATATATATACAGAATGTATATATAAGATATTAATATTCGTGAAAAGAATTAAAAATTGATTAAAGATCAAAACAAATACAAAAGTTAATAAAAATATCGATTAAAATTTATTTATTAAGTTATTAAGCAATTAAAATTTTCGTTAGATAATACAAGATGGAATGATACAATTCTATCTCTTATATTTTCGTCTCGATTTACTTTGCTTTCATCTAATACAAACTTAAATTATTTATAACTTAATAAATAAACTTTAATTGACATTTTATATAACATCTTTTATGCTTATTTTTATCTCTAAAATCGATTCTTCAAAAGTATTCTACAAATATATTAACACTTATATATATATATATATATATACACAATATATATTACATCCTATATAATACATATATGATATATAATATATATATATATATATATATATATATATATATATATTTATCTGAAATATTTATATGTATAATGTATAATTGCAAATTATAAATATTAATCTATTTAAGAAAGATATTTTATCGAATTACAATTTTTCTTCATTTTTTCATTTCAATAAAATTTAATATATAATATAACGTGCTAATCCTTCTAGAAGACAGCACAGAAATTCACATGGCAAGATCTGATAAATTACAAACGACCGGTGAACAAGTCGAACATATAGATGTACCATTACAAAATGGAGGTACAAAAACACAAGAAGAAAATCCTGATCCTAGTAAGTATAATAAAAATTTATAGCTGTAAAAATTTACTATTTCCTAATTTAAACAAAATAATAATTGTTTCATATAATATTTAAATTTTTTCAATATTGTATCTTGATGAGATGATGAATGATAGGATAAGAAGGAAAAAGAAAAGGAAAGGGAAGGTTAGAAAGAATACAAAAGAAAAGTAAAAGAAATCAAAAATAAGAAAAAAAATAAAATAAAATAATTACATTTTTTATATTGTTTCAGATTATGAATACGAATTATTGGTATGGCCAGCAAGAGCTGGATGGATAAGAAAAACAGCATGGATTATGACTTGGCCGATTCATTTAATTTTTATGTGTACAATACCAGATTGCGAAAAACCACGATTTAAAAATTGGTTTCCAATAACATTCCTTATGTGCATTATTTGGATTGGATCCTTAAGTTATGTAGTAGCATGGATGATCACTATAATTGGTAATAAAAAAAGTGATACCAAGTAAAAAAAAAAAATTAATTTTTTGAATTGGCTTAAAGGAAAGCTAGAAAAAAAAGAAAAAATCATAATTTTCATTTCAGGAGACACTTTGAAAATACCAGATTCCGTTATGGGTATTACTTTTCTCGCTGCTGGTACTAGCGTGCCAGAGGCTGTATCAAGTGTAATAGTAGCAAAACAAGGTAAAATAATATGCGAATATGAGAAAAAGATAATTCATCATATTCTATAATAATATTAAAAAAAAATATAGAAATAGCTTACAGAAACTTCTTACATTAAATTTTTTCCATTTATTTTGTTTCAGGACATGGTTCAATGGGTATTAGCAACTCGATAGGATCGAACACTTTCGATATATTGTTGTGTTTGGGTCTACCATGGCTAATCAAATCTTCATTTTCACCAACACAACCAGGAAAACATTATATCAGTATAAATTCTGGTGGGCTTGAATACAGTGCTATATCATTGTTGTCGACATTAATGTTACTTTACATTGCTTTTGCTTCAAATAAGTTTCAGCTCGATAGAAAAGTTGGCCGAGCTTGTTTATGTATGTATGCTGTGTTCCTCATATTAGCCTCGTTGATAGAACTCAATGTATTCTTCAGGGTAAATTTACCCACGTGCCAGAGGACGGTCAAATGATCTGAAATCAAAAGTAGACTTGCTTAATGATATTTGATACAGTGTTTAGTTGACCTTCGTATGTTCTCTTGAACTTACGAACAACATTGTGAATTGAAGAATGCTGTTTTACATTATATAAAACTATTTCTTCTCTCGTCTCATTTCTCAAGGAGACAGCCTTTTACTTCGAGGCTTCGTTATTCCATATCATATTCTTTTCTTTATAATCGGTAACCAACTATACATATCTTTTATCTTGTAAATTCATAATTTCATTTCCATCAATTTTTTGTCCTTTTTGAAACTTTTTTTTCGTTTTTCTTTCGTTTTCTATTCATGATCATTATCATTCGGTTTTCGTATATTTTATCCGTTTTTTTTCATTGCGATCAAAATATAACAAGCATTTTAATCATCTTCATCTCTCAAACTCTTTCTCTTGCGCTATCGTCTAAATATTTGATTTATTGTGAACAATATCAATTTTTAACGTGATTAGGAAATGTAAATGAAAAAAAGGAAAGAAAGAAATTTTATTTTTTGGTAAATAAATAAATAAAAGTTTGTCATTTATGCGTACATATTTCGAAGAGTAAGACATATTCACATGTTCATAACAATGGAAAGTATTAATATATAAATGGATTTAGAAAAAATAAAATTATAATATAATAATAATATATTAATAAATATTATTATAATATTATTATTAAATAAAATAAGATTATAATTTTATCTTAAATTTCGATAAAAAAAATTTAAATTTATAAAAAAATATAATAAAATATGAGAAACAAAGAATAATATGTCAATAAAAATATAATATGTATATATTAAATATATTGTATACTAAACATTATATGTAAATATACATATGCGATACGATATACGATAGCGTAGAAAAGACTGCCGCTTTTACATTTTATTTCGAGAATACAACACATATGTACATCAAACATTAAATATAGATACGTATGTTATTAAGTACGAGTGATTAAATAAAATTTCGATAATCGGTTATCGTTACGAAATATCATGATAATTGATTATCGGAATAAGGAAATTACGAAAGTTTTGATAATTATATATCGAAACTGATATCAAGGTTGTTTGATAAAATAAAATTGACGTGTACTGAAATTCGCCACAGGATGTATATTTAGGTAATCTCTAAGAACTTAACATGTTTAATAAAGTACTGTAATAAGTTATTAAAAAAAAAATCGATTATTTCGCTTGAATCCTATAGCGATTTTTATTGAAAAAATGTCAATAACTCGAAAATCCTATTGATAATTGAAAAATTATACAATTGCAATATGGTTATATATAGGTGGAAATTGTAATCAATATTTCTGAAATCTTTGGCACGATTTCAATGAAGGAGTTGATTTGTGAATTGAGAAAAGTACACGACTGTTATGCGGCGCAGATTCGTTTCAGCAAGGAACAGAAACACGTCGGAACACGTTGTGATAAGTAAGTAAATTTTGATAAGTAAGTAAATAAATAATCGCCTTCTGTTTTTGAAAAATTGAAATAATTTAATAAGATTGAAGAGCATTTTTATTGTTTCGAATAAAACACAGATAAATTTTAAATATACATTTGCTTATCTTAGCATTTCGACATGTTTTAATATAATAAATATATAGAAAATAATCAAAATCTTTATAGCATGGGGATTTAATAAATTTTTGCAATACATTAATGTTCCTTATCTTATATTTATTTAAGTATGCACATGTGTCAAACAAACATAACAAAGAATGAATATATTAAGAAATGAATCTTTGATATCTTCTTATTTTAAACGACAATAAGTCGAGTGCATATTAGGTTGATAGGTCGAACAACGTGACTGTTCAGGAAGGGGTCAGTTGCACGTCACCACGCTAAATCCGCAATGCGGTGTTGTCGCAAAATGATTATTGTTACAATTTCTAACAATAAATCCTTATATCATTAACATTCATGAATTTTAAATATATATTTTATATATATTTAGATTTGTTATATATTTCTATACATTTGTATGTTATATATTTAGTAAAGTTTTAGAAACAAATTTGTTGTATATTATATATATTTACATAACTAAAACATAAGATGATTAAAATATATTTATATTAGATAAGAATTTATTGATGAAACATTTTGAATGAATAAACAAATTTATAAGCAAAAACAAATAAAAAGAAAGATAATAAAAAAACAATTATATTCTACGCGGTCGGAAAAACTAAAGTCGGAAAAAATGAATAAAAATATAATAAAAAATTAAACAATGAGTGAGATATGGGATAAATAGTAAGCGAGTAAGAGATATAATTCCAAGAGAGGCTCGATGCGGCAAATGCGGCGAATGCGCTGAATGCATTGAATGCGACGACGGTAACGTCATGCGCTCTGAAAACAACCGCAACCCCCTGTTAGAAATCGAGGAAGAACGGTAGGGATAACGTGGCGTGATGCACAGGCTACAATGCGCAATCGGTACACGAGCGCGCACGCGCGCATTATAGTCTCGAAGATGCCCGTAGCGAAACAGACGCAAAGGCACGCACGCTCGTAGCTCGTAGCTGCTGTAAAGGAGGGAGTCGCAGTATATCGAAGTTGTGCAGTGTTGCTTACCACGTAGGAGGCATAACACTCGCCGTCTCTACAATAAGATCCTAATATTTTCACAAATTTTTTTGTTCTACGTTTCGGTGTTTTTATTTTTTTGACATTTTTCTCTTTTTATTATTCTTCAAGAAATGTGTCATCTATATCTTCATAAATTGTTACGCAAGATCAATCGTTAAGAAAATGGTATTTTGATAGACACATCGTAAAAGGCAAGTACGATTTGAAACAACAATTAAAACGAAGGATCACAAAGATAATTATTCGCATCGAATATTTTTATGAAAAATATTTATACTTATATTGCGAATAGCAATGAGAATTGATTTGAAATTGTCATATATTTCATAACTACAAATCGGATAAATAATTAAATCGATATCAAATCAAGATTTGAATTTTAAGAGTGATAAAAAGTTGGAATTGGAATTCTAAACAGAAATAAAAAAAAAAAAGAGAAAAAATGGAACCAGAATTTAAAATAACACTATTATAAGAACTAAGATTAAGATTGCTAAATTTCCTTCTATAAAATTATATCTGTTGGATTTTCAAAGTTACCAGTTGGACCAGAGAATAATCTATAAATGGATTTTTAGTGACATTGTTAATATCCAATTTGGGGTTAATAATTATTGTGCCCTATCTCTCTCACACCAGCAATTGTACCACATATCGATACTCATATCGACCATCGTTCGTTTTTAGGTAACGACGTCTATCTTTTAAAACAAAATATTCATTGTGTTATAGTGTTTGACCAACATTGTGATCGAACCGGAAAGACATTTTACAAAATGTTGTAATATCACGTATGAAATTAATCGCGAACAATATCTATATACTTATGTTCTTTACTGTGGTGCCTAAATATTTTAAGTAAAGAAAAACTAGTGCCTACATAACGCACGATAAATGCGATATATATATACGATACGATATATATATATATATATATATATGTGTACATATATATATCGTAATTTGAAAATACAGATTGTCTCGTCGAACTGAATCGCTCAATGTTCCATTCTATTCAGTTCAGTGATATAATAATGCTTTTCAACATATATCAATAATTCCATCTTTTTAATATTTAAGTTTTATCAATTGTGTGAGAAAACTTTTCTTTCTGAAAATAAACTTTTGATCGCCGAACAATTAAGATTAGAATTAGAATCAGGAAATGATTCACGAATTTTATTGATTTGTTAACAAATATGAATATAGAATTTATGAAATGATATTTAACATTTGTCTTCGAATTCGAAAAAATAAGCGAAATCGGATTCGAATTGAATCGAAACTTATTTGATTAAATCATTTTCAATTAAACCTTTCATCTTCGCGTCTTTTTGCAATTTTTATTCTCTTCAAAAAATTTCCGTTTACATCGTATGTATACGTGTGTATGCGTATACAAATTTATTGAAGATATAAAGAAATGTCTCGTTTAATGTTATGTAACCTTGGCAATGCATCCACGGCAGGAAATGATACGAATAACAATGCGAATACAAATAGTAGCATGGAGGACGATGACTACTATCCGCTACCTACTATTTATCGGTGAGTGAATTCTTGATCGATAACGTATATATGCATTCGCTCTAATAAAGTCATAAAGATCATAAATATAATCAGTCCATCGACCTTCATTGTTTTTTTTATTGAATTTTTATTTCTTAAAAAATTTTTACTCTGAGTAATTGAAATTACTATGATGTAACGACTATGATAATAATTGTATATAACAAAAATAAACAATTGTCATGTTTATTGAATACAAAATCTATTGTATATATAGTGAAATAAATATACATATGTAATTTTATATCATTGTAAATTATTTTTATAAATCTTCGATTCCTTTTTTAATTTTCATCTTATTTTAATTAATTTCGAAACGAGATAATAAATTTAAATAAATAAATAAAATAAAAAATAATACGATGTATTTTATAATGTAATTATATATATATAATAATAGAATACATACCATCTTACACACTTTTCTATTGTTATGTTTTATAATATTGAAATATAATTAAAATAGAATTAATAAAAATATATAGGATTCAAATAATCGTTCATGTCAAAATTTATCAAGAGGTATTTCTTGGTTATACAAAGAATTCAATGAAAATCATTTTCATGCATACTTAAAAGTATCTAAAGCAACATATATATATATATATATATATATATATATATATATATACAACTATTATATATACATATATATATATATATATATATATATATATATATATATATATATTGCAAAAAATGTGTAAACTTAAATACATGCAAATACATGTGTGTGCAAAATTATAGAGATTATATGTAGATTTTGCATGGATTCTATTAATTATACAAGATTTTTAGATAATATGTATTTATAATATGTAATAATATGTAGTTAATAAAGCGATTGAAAAAATGGAATATATGAATATAAACATGATTTGTATTTTTACTGATAATAATAAAAAAATCATTTAATACATAAATGAACCAATAAACATTGTATTATGTTCAAATTAGTAATAAATATTTTATCAAAATCTTTTATTTTAAATTGTAAGAAATTTGTTATATTTAAATTGTAAGAATTTTATTAAAATTCCATGTTTTCATTAAATTTTTTCTTTTAAGAGATATTAATATCAATTGCTCGCTAATCGTTGTTAACTAAAGTCATTGTAAATGCATTCTTTTGATAGATTTCATATATTGAAACTTGTATATACTCAAAAGTCATACAAAAGACAATATTAGATATCAAGATATTTATATAATAATCTTTTTAAAACAAAAACTGTCAAGTTATACATTATTGTTTCTTCAATTGTATTGATTTTTATTACCTTTATTAATTTATTAAATTAAGTTAAAAATAATATAAAAATTAATGTATAGTTATATCTATCATAATCATTAGAAATCAGATTTAATTCGAAAAATGATATTCCATAATTGGTGTATATACATGAAAGACCTTGTTTCTTCACCTTCGTTCTTAGATCTTAGTAATTCTTCTCCTATGACTTCTTACAGCCGATGTAATGAAGAAAATGATGCACGTATTGGTGTCTTGTACAGGTTACACAGCTGTATAGTTGATGTGACTTCCTACCGATTAAGCAACCTAAAGAAGTTAAATTGCTCTCATTCAAGTTGGCAGAGGAGATGCCATTCATGTCTAATGTACGTCGTATAAACTAGATATAACGTGGCTTGACCATTCGGTGTCGAACCATTTTGTCTCGTTGGAAACAAACGATGATCATCGACTCGATCATCGATCATTAAATGTTGATTCTCAATCAACAATCTTTTGATTTTTTTTAATAGAATATACTTTTTTTAAAAAATATTAAAATTTTGTTATATATTGTGTGTTTTTATTATCAATAAAGTCTATCATATATGATGCCGTTTTTAGCGTTAATAGCGTTTTTAATTTATCTTTCTTTGCCTTTCTGTAATTAATGTTTTTTTTATTTATTATTTATTCAATATTATATATGCATTTTTATTTCTTCATTTTTGACATATATTTCTTTCAATGTATTTATTTATTATGAATCGTTTAAAGAGAGGAAAAAGAATTTTTATTACAAAAATTTTAACGAATTCCAAGTAGATTTAAAATTTCTTGAATTCTGAATTTTAGAGCATCATGAATAACATCGCTCATTTTTAGAATTCGTTTCTTTATTCATTTCCTCTTGGATATGCTCTTAAAAATTGTAATGCTAACATTATACATGATCGAATGTATTTTAAAAAACATATTTAAATATAAAATCATATTTAAGTGAAAAAATAATAACAATTGATGAAAATACAAAAATCAAATTAAAGTAAAGAACGAATCATGCAAATATTACATATATTCATGTTAAAGCAAATTATGATACAATTATGACATAAATAAATCAAATTTTTTAATGTATCATTAGAAGACACTTAAAGAAATGATTTATTAAGTTATTGTATGAAAGAATTTTAAAAAATTTATATTTTTATATACACATATATAAAAATGCAATATTGCAATATAAAAAAACGCCATGCAATATAAAAAATGAAATATAAAATTAAAGTTAAATGAATAAAAATAATAGAAAGTAAAGAGCACTAAAAAGAGTTAAAGAAAAGAATATAAGAAAAAAAAAGAAAGAGAAAGAGAAAAAGAAAGCAGGGATGGGCAAAGAACAAGATTACTCGCCAATTAAATTGCTTTGTAAATTTTTGAATATGTCTATGGCATGTCACGATTCTCTTATCAAAATAATGATCACAAAAGAAAAATAATGAATATAATTTAATTTATAAGAATAAATATTTTACTTTACGCGATATTATGCTTTGATAAATCTTCTATATAAAATTATTTTCAATCAACATATGTTGCTCTGTTTTTACTTCTTTATAATAATCATTAAAAACTAAATCACAAGTATTATTGCACAATATGCAACACCGCACGACACATCTGTAGATAGAAAAATTAATTTAATTTAAAATGCACTCTTTGCAATATTTCTCTAGCTTTCTTTCTTGCATTGTCATTCGTTTCCTTCCTGTTTTCTTTCTTCTTCTCTGCCTCATTTTCCACCCCATACTTATCCTCTTTCATTTCGCTTTTCCTTATGATGCATATTCTTCTACTCTTTCCTCTGTTGTTATTGCTGCTGCTAATGCTGATGCTAACCATCCTGTTGTCCCTCCTCCTTCTTTTTCTCCTCCTTCTCCTCGTCTTCCTCCACCTTCTCCTGCTCCTTCTCTTCCTACGACTCCTCCACCTTGTTCGATACTTTAATTTCAATTCTTTAATATTATTCCATTCTATTTTTCACCATCAATGAAGCACAACCCATCACTCTAATTACCTTTATATCGATCAAATTTGTCGTATCATAAAAAAACATTTTTTTTGCAATAATATTCAAAATATATTTTAACGAACCTCCTCCTAAGTCAGACGTATCCATGTTGTCAATCCCGTTGTCACACATATACTACATTAACAACTACTCCGAAGTCCGGCAGCGTTTGTTAGAATCGCCCCTCCCTCTAACTCTTCTCATCTCTCGCGCATCGCGCCCGCTGAATCGTGCCGCGGTCAAAATGCGAAATTGTCATTACACTAATCGTCGTTATAGCTTCCTTGAAAATTGAACGTCGTATCGTATATGTTATATTCTATTCCGACACAATCAACTATTTTGCTTTACTTAATTTTTTCAATTTTCTTTTCAATTATTTTAACAGCCATCAATTTCTTTTTATTTGGTTATTTTCAAAGAAACATATAATGATATAATAAATAATATTTACAAATGTTATCATAAGATATATAACGTGATAAATAAAGGAAATAATAAATTATAGAAATAGAAAAAAAAATTACAAATTAATTTATAATTGAAAGAAATAACTATGTTGTGAAATAAATAATTTAAAAAAATAATAGATATTATTATTTTTATATTCTATATATAAAATAAAATTAATAATGAAAAATTATAAATAAATTTGTTATATTATATTAATTATAATTTGATTTAAAATTATATAGTTTAATCGAAGGAAATATGTGTGCATGCATATGTGTGTGTGAAAGAAAAAGAGAAAAAGAAGAGAAAGAAATAATTCTTGTTCCATTTTTCAAAGATGGAATATTATTTTAATATTGAAATATATATAAGTAAAGTAAATGTAGTTTTACTTTTGCATATAATAATTATATATTATAAAATAAATGATAATGAAAATAATATATATAAAGTTTATAATATTAAAATAGAATAGACATAATCAATATATTATGAATAAATAGATATTTAATTAATAGATAATTAGAGATTTCCAATAAAAGGAACATTCCTATTGTTGGATTATCAGTAAAGGGATGTCTTTATAAGCTCTATATAATATCTTATCTGTGTAAAGTTGAAACCGATAATGCTAGTAAACGAAAAACATCGATGCGATTTGACTTAGCGAATCAAAATTAGTATCATACGGAACGGCAAATCACATCTTTGACTCGATCACTAAAGGAAAATTTTTCTAATTAATTAATTAAAAAAACGATTTTAAAATGGTAAAAAAACACAGACAAATGATAGGTTACAAAATATATTACATGATTATTATTCCTACAATGTATTTGATTTTCATAAATATTTTATCAATATTTTTTCTAAATAATACAACAAGTGCGAGTAATCCTACGGATATACGTAAGTTTTGTTTTCTTAATTTCTCATCTTTTTAATTTTTTTCCTTTTTTCCCTTCTTTTATATGTTTTATATATAGGAAATATATTATATCATTTGTCATTGCATTACTTTAATTAAATTTCTCCCGCATTGCTATAACGATTAGCTATCCTCTTACAAAGTAAATGAACGTCTAATAACAAAGATAGGTAATAAAGAGCAATTATGTAGACATTCAATGATTACAATGTGTGCATGTATATATATGGATTCATGCGGTTACGTTACACGAAAAAGATGGAGGTGATATAGAGATACTAAAATTCAGAATGAATCATTACGTAATATGTTCATATATATATATAAAGTAAATATTATGTACTATATTATATATATATATATATATATATATATATATATATATATGTGTGTGTGTGTGTGTGTGTGTGTGTGTGTGTGTGTATGTGTGTGTGTGTTTATATTTTTGCATATTAAGAATGCATTATATATATGTATTACTATTAAGTTTAAAAATAATAAAAAGATTTTTAAATAAAAATCACATATTAAACACATTTATTATAACATTATAATTGCTTTTTATAATAATAAAAATATATTTTGAAACGGAAAAAATGACAAAATTTTAAATAAATATAATCAAAATCAAATTTTTGCTTATCAAAAAAATCTTTTTGACTAACTCTAAAGAAATTTTGAGCATACTATTTGAAAGTTTTTTTTAAAGCTTTTTAAAAATTTTTTTTAAAGCTTTTTAAAAATTTTTTTAAAACTCTAAAATAATTACTAATACTAATAAACTACTAATATTAATAAATTTATTTTCATAATATTTATGTTTGTTATTATGTAAAAATATGACATAACTAGCATTAGACATTAAAAAAAATAACGTCTAAAAAATATTACTTATACATTCTTTTTTTCTTGTTCTAGCAGGAATATGGTTGGAAAGAGAAATCAGCCGATGACGAAACACGAAAATATTCGGATAAACTACGAGACGTATGTGCACTTGCCGAACGACTCGGCTGTTCCTTTGGACAATTGGCTATTGCATGGTCTTTAAAAAATGAAAGTGTTCAGTGCCTTCTTCTCGGTGCATCAAATATTGATCAATTATACGAGAGTCTTCAAAGTTTACAGGTAAAACATAAAATATATTCTTAAATTCAAATTGAATTTTTATTATTTATTATTTTTATGCAAAACGTTATGACAATAAATGCTACATCGTTCCAGCTAATTCCAAAATTAAATGCTAATATAATGAACGAAATTGAAAGAATTCTCGATAATAAACCATCACGACCTCCGATGATTTCAACATTGGCACTCAGATGACAATCAATTTGCCCCCACGGAAGTGGTGGGGGCTCTTTAGAGGATGGAGGTAGCCCAAAAAGCGAAGGTGCTAATAGTCAAGATCAAGAACAGACTAAAGAACTAACCGGCAAACTACCATTTTGCGAAATACAATGAAACAATGTTAGATATATTTACGTATATTTAGATATAGTTTGATCTTGATCGAATGAAATTGGATCGATTAAAATTGGATTGAAGATGACAAAATTGTGCCAAGAGAGGTCACATAAATTTAAATGAAAAAAAGAGAAATATTAATTATTAGTGCACGTTGTCCCATACTCAACGTGTTAAGCGCGAATACATGTACATATTATGTACTTATATCCACATAAAAATGAATCAACGACAATACTTATAGATACGATTGCAGTTGCAATTGCAATTGCAATTAAAATTATAAATAATTAGCGAGAAATATTTGCAAGATAAATTCCAAACATAATTTTCATTCCTTGATGCATCTGAACAATTATTCTTTTTGCAATTTTCTTATAGATAAATTTAAATACAAGAAAAAAGATTTAAAATTATTTGATTATAAGTTTTAAAAAAAATGATAAGTTCACGATTTCCTATGCAAAGTTCATTCGAAATTAGATAAAATTATTGTAAATTCTTTATTGAAACTATATAAGATAGTATAATTATTTTTTTCAATTTGAAAAAATTTTTTATATTATTTTATTTTATTCTTTCACACATTTTATCTATGTTACAAAAAATCAAATATATACATCACAAGAATAAGTTGAATGAAACGCGGCAAATTCACGTGATCTTGTACATTATTGATATATTTTTCAATGTATTAATTCAAACCTTACCACTATTGTTCCTTTCACTTTCAATCATTTGTTCGACCCTTTATCAAATATCACGTAAATAATTCTTGCTATGTCCTTCATAATTACAGATCGGCTCAAGTTAGTTAACTAGTCATTTTGCTAGTTAATTAGCTTACCGAACAAATTATGTAAGGATAGGTAAGTGGTATAGACGGATAAATATATAAATAAATAGGCGTACTTAAGGTAAGTTGTTAAATAAGAATGTAAATAAATAGTTAGATATATGAAAGCACGAACAGCGATAAACATAGAAATTACATGAAATTTCACGTAGGAAGAAATACGTGATAATACTCGAAAAAAAAGATAATGATAAAGAATAAACATTTTGTAGATTGTTACATACACGTAGCAGAAGTGTGATATAAGAACATTTCCATTCTATTCTCGTTGGATTCGTTCAACTATCCGCTATCTTTTATGAATATTTATAACATATTTAAATGCAATGTCTTAGAGCAATGTCATTTTTGCATTTGATTTTTCGAATGAAAACCGTCCTAATGACATACTGCGTAAAACCTCGTAAATTAATAAAGTCATTTTCAAATTGTATCATTTATAAATTGGATAAATGAAGTATTCATGAAGATAAAATTTATGTATATTTAATGCATAATGAAATAAAAATGGGGGTGTGAAAAAAATGAAATAAATAAATGATAATTGAAAAATAAAAAAGAGATGAGGAGAAAGATATGACTTGGATAAAATTTGAATTAAATTCAAATTTAATCAAATTCCGATAAAATATAAAAATGATGAAATAATAAAAAGTTCCAATTGTTAATGATTGTAAATATATAATACTTTAGTATATTCGTAATTATTAACTGCTACAATTACGTTGACATTTAGCGATTCTTTGATCTATAGTGTGTATTATAATAGGATAAATATACGTATATTACATACACACTCAAAATAATGGCATATTCGTTGATAAGATTGGTTGATAATAATTATGAGATTAACTATCGGTAAAAAAAAATGGTAAAATTCGAATACCAATCATTACGAATATGATTATAAGTATGCCAGTTACGCTAGCTAAGTTGTAGAGCTAAGCTTTCACTAATTACTTAGCGCTAATTATTTAACGATTTTTCATGCAAATTACAATCTTTATATTTTCCACTCAAATTTTTATCAGAACATAATATATTATATATAATAACTTCATAATATAAACAAATTCATTAAATAAACGTACATATACAGACGTGCATATATTTATCGTGATCTCAAAAACATGGCAATTAAATAATTAGAAAACTGTCATGCAAATTTTTCAGAAAATCCAACAATTTCAAGAATTTCAAATCGTTAAAAAGAAATTAAACTGCCAAAACGTCGATCGTTTTGTTGTTAATTAAATAATTATGGTGCGAACGATCGTTAAAATACACGAAATGCCTCAATTGTGTTCCGCGCCAATAATCTCAGTGTAATTAATAATAATTGATAAAATATGATTTAAAGCTAGATAAGAAAGAATAAATAGAAATGAAGAAAAGAAAATAAAAAAGAGTAAGGATAAAGAAAGAAGTCGGAAAAGAGCAATATTGTCATGATATGATATATTTAATTATCAAATTGGAAATAAATAGATAAATCTTTTATATGAATGATTGATCTTTTATATAATTGATTCTTCTCAAATATTTTTATCAATTTTATATCCGAAGCAAGATTGTTCATTCGTTATTTAATGATTCTTTGAATTGAACATATTCAAAGTTGATATTCATTCAAAATGTATTTATTTTAAATGATATGATTTATACCTCTTATAAATAGATAGGTAGAATATGCATATGAAGAATTGATATAAGATTTAATATTTTTATTGAAAGTCTTTAAG